GTAGCACCCATTTTACAGGAAATGTTTTCCTGTATCCTTACTGGAAGTACTTTAGGATCGTCTTTCATGAGAATCACTGTCAAATATTTCCCTCACAATCACATTTTCTTCCTGGAAGTTTTATTTTGGTAACTGTAGCTCAGTAACTTTGAAATAACAGAGAAATATCAAAATGAATTAAAAAATGCTGATTTTATTGAACTTTGACACCAGAAATGTGTGTAAAACTCCTTTTTAGGAAGGGAAGGGTGCCTACATACATACGATTGCAATGAAGTGTCTGTGTGTATGTATACATGGAGCATATAGCACTTTGGACAAACCTTCACTGGGCATGATGAAGAATTTGGACTTGGAAAAGTGAAATTCAGGATTTCCCTGTGGCACTAGTTGTTAACAAACAGAAGTTCCATGAGAAAACACAGTCATTAAACACCAAATTCATCATCACACAGAGATAACAGGTTAGTCTTTGCCCCAGCGAACCGGTGACATCTGGAAGGGAGCAAGGGGCGGTGGAGCAGGCTGCAGTGCTGAGTGACAGGAGGCAGGGCCCTCAGTCATTAGTAAGATGATTATTTGGCAGGTTTATGCTCGTTTTTATCGTATCGACACTTTGATTAATATGGTAATGATCCCACTTTCCAGCTTGAGTTTTGTCACTTTAATTTGTCCTACACGCCAGAGGGAAGGATATTGGCACTGTGAAATCTATATCAGAAGTAAAAGGCAGAAATTCCAACCTAATGATGACATATTGGTCTGAATGTTCAGGTTTGTTCCAGCTGCTTCATGCAGCCAGCATCATGCAAAGCAATTCATGTCGTTTACTCTTGTTAGCTCTCTTATGCTGCCAGAGAATCAGGTCGAGTATCTCTAATGACCATATGTGTTGCTCAATTATCCTACAGTTCGCTGCATCTTTCTTTCCCAATACATACAGTGCTACAACATCCTGTTTATTCAGTACTAGGTGCTGTCTAGAAACTGTTGAGTTCAACAGAGGGAAAATGATATCAAATGTAATAGTGTCTCGCAGAAGTTGATCTTGTGAGACATTCTGAGCTTGGAGGTGTATCAGTGTTTTCAGACAAGGCGAATGGCAGCGGTTAGTAAAAAACTACCAATATTAGCTAAAAAGACTTGAAGTATCTGAAAGGCTTCCAGAATGCCTGCTGTTCTTTCCATTGAAAACAAACTATCTACGGTTAGCATCCTCAGATGAGATGTGGAAGATGCAAGTGCCGTCCTCATCATGCTCATGCAGAGAAGTGACAAAAGCCCTTCCCCAAGCAGAGCAGTTCTTCCATGGTGTCTTGTGTTTGCTTGTTCCCAGAACTTCCCACACAGGGTGCAGCAGCGTGGGCTCCACACCTGGACATCTGCCTCGTTCAGGTTAGAACTCCCACCTCTGGACTCTGATTCCATTTCCCAGGCTTTCACCTCCCAGTGACTTTGCTGCCTCACTTCTCTTGAGCAAACCTTCCTGCTGCTGGAAGTGTTCCCGATACAGCTTCTGCAGTAACTGGTGTACTCCGACTGGGAAACTGCTTCCCTGGAAACCTCCAACTGCCCTTTGTCTAGTGCCTATGTTTTCCTCCCAGAGAAGCCTTCCTTCATGCTTCCCTTGCTGCCGTCAGTGCAAAGAGGAGCACAGCTTTATTCTTCTCTGCCATGTGTTTCCGCTCAATATTGTTTGTTTTGGAGAGCGGAATTCCGAGAGCATCTCTGGCAAAGGGAGACTGTCTCTTTATTAATGCACTGTAATATCAAGTATATTAGCATCAAGTTCTCACTCAACTGTAAGTGTTACTTAGGGATATTAATCAACTGCTGCTTTATTTTAATGTGCTAATTTGGGATTAATGAACATAAAGGCTTGATTTACAGAGAGGTCTTTGATTTGTAGCTTCCGTTGTACCTTCCCTTCCATTTTCTCCTGCCACAGGACTCCAGCCAGATTACAGTTCCAGAATGAATCGTATTGGTTACTCCTCTCTGGAAGCATCTCTGCTCCCCTCATCTGCCCCATTAGAGGAGTTCTTGAGGCCATGTCCTGAGCTGGTCGTGGTGGTCCTTGGTCACGTCTCTGTTTCTGTGGGGAGCAGAGCTCTGTGGCTGCTTCTGGAGGGTAAGAGCTAGGGTTGGAATAGAGAAACCTCCTTAGGGGGAGCTCTCGGACCTGAGCAGAGCTGGGGCAGCAGCCTGTGAGACTGACCTGCTGGGCACATGAGTGGGGAGAAGGAAGTTTTCAGGCAGCAGCATGGGCTGCTTGTGCATCCCCTGCCTGCCCACGGCGGCATGGGCAGTGCCTCCCACAGCCCTGCCCACACCAAAGGGCAGAGATCGATGCTGCAGAGGCTCCTCATCGCTGGGATCTCTGCTCATTAAGTTTGTTCCCTCCAGATATCAACTCCAAAGGGTGCTCTCTGTAAGCAGTTAGCGGGAGGCAGCGAGTGATGTTGGCAGCAGGAACTTTTAATGAGGACGCCGTTACGAAGGTTTTGGTGTTGGAAGCTGTGTGTATAAGCTTCCTAGCGCAGATGATATTCCTGGTATTCCAAAGCTCTGTGTGCTTGGTCTGCAGTGGTCCCTCTGGCTCTCAGTCACTGCTCAGCACAATCTGCTGCTGCTGGAAGTTCAGTTTATGTCTGGGTCACGCCTGGTGAAAAGCTTAATTGGGATTGCTTCCCAGTGGGAAATTTGTTGTCCTTTGCATGGAATGCTTGCGTTCCACTAGTTCTGATTGTTTCTTTTTTTATGTCTTTTTTTTTTTTTTTTGAGGTCTGAACAGAAATTCTCATTTTTGAATACCTAAACATGGAATTAAAAAAAAAAGCTGGTTTTAAAGGTTTTTTTTGGCCAACCCTCCCCCCCCCCCCTTAACTCTTTCATGGCATAGTTGAGTTCCTCAGTGGAAAGTGAAGATTTCTGAGCTTTGGTTTCTTCCTTAATTATATTTTATTTAGCTGTTATTCAGCGTGACCTGATGAATGACTGCACCTCCCCTTTCTTAGCGTCTTGTATCATTAGTGTTTATGCTTTGTATAACTAAGAAAATAATTAAGCACGCTGGGTTTTATTTGCAACTCTTTGCCAAGCTGGTAGTGGGATGTCTGCAGTATATCATAATTTTACAGCATCTCTGTAGCCATACAAAAGCAGTAGAAGCAAAATGCCATATAAACAACTGCTCAGACAGAGTTTGAATGATCCAGTAATTTTGATTTATACTTTGCATTTCATGGAACTGTATTAGCAGTTAAAGTCTATGGTTAAACGATTCCCAGCACAAAATGAGTCAGAAATACAAAAGAAAGCCTCCAGTGCAAGATTTAGTGCTGGGGACTTTGTTTAAATCCAGAGTCTGAATGTAAATTATAGTCCTGGTTGTCACTTCTAACTAACAATCCCAACCAATACAGCATAGCTGGGTAATTTGTCCACTGTTTCTTTATGAGATGGTAAACTGTAATTTAATTCTCATCACTTTTTCAAAGGCAGAGAAAAACTCATCTCAGCCATAAAGGAATAGCGTGACCCAAGGCTTACTTCAAAATAAACCTGTCTGCCACCTAATCTTTATGCATCACACAAGTCAAGATGCAACACTATGGGATTGCTGTAGAGAGCAAGAACATACGGTGGTAGATAGTGAAAAATGACACAACTGCCAATGGGATTCAATAGTTAAAATGGCTTAAGGAGGACAAATGGGTTTATCCTTTCCTGGAGCAGCTGCTTTTTCTACTTAGAACTTTGACATTTTTGCTTCATGTTTTCCACACTGTTGCCCAGCTTCCTCAGCCTCCAGCTGAAAATGATACCCTGGATGAAGGACTATAGCCCAATCTAGAAGAAATAGGAATGAGTCTTTCTCTGTGGCAGTGAGTGGAACAACGCAGACTGGCCATGGAAGTAAATATTGTTATTACTGTTTCTTAAGTTGTTGTTAAAAGGGTGATTTTCCCAAAAGGAACATGTGGCACAAGGTACAACCACTCCAAGATGAGCTCCATTAGAGGAGAATGATTGTTGGGGTGCTTTGGTTATGTGTCTATGTTGGACTCCTATCTAGGACAGCATTAGTTCATAGAATCCTAGAATGGTTTATGTTGGAAGGGACCTTTAAGCTCATCCAGTTCCAACCCCCTGCCACGGGGTAGGGACACCTTCCACTAGAGCAGCTTGCTCCAAGCCCTGTCCAACCTGCCTTGAACACTTCCAACTTTAGTAACGTGTCTCATATTAGTTTGCTTACACATAGGACTTCAAATGCTTTAAAACTCCAAAATAAGCTCCCAAGGTGCAACAGTAAATGACTTTCTTGAAATCATCAGTTGAAATATAATCACTCTTACCTCAGTAGATCCTAAAGCACTTTGCAACCTGTGCATCCTCACTGTCTGTGGAAAAGGAAACCAGCCATCTTTGAAACAGAACATACCATCTGTTTAACAGGGTGCAACAGTGCTATTAAACAGCCTTAAGCAAGAGCAGGCTATGGAGTAGGTCTTTGAAAATACGAGGACATCTGAGCAGGTATAATATGATTGCCATGCTGGAATTCAGCCAGGACGTGAGGACACAAAGCCCACTGTGGTGGAACTCGGATGGGCTGCTGTGAGTCTCAGTGCAGGGCTTTACCCAGCTATGCTCTGAGCATCAGCATCGCTCGAGCACCTCATCTCCAGCCCAACCAAGCACTAATTGTCACAGAAGTGCCAGTTGTCAGTGATGCAGATCCCTGATGGTGTATTGACACTGTCAGCCACGCAGTCTCAGACGGAGGCAGTTAGGTCTGTTGTGTCCAGGTTCTCTGAATAGTGCTGTTTCTATCACCTTTATTTCCATGGAGATCGTAAGGGCTCTTTGGGGACGGTTGTGATTGCATTGGAAGGACTGTATTGATTCCAACCAGCTGTCCAATTAAACAAAACAAATCATGCCAATCCATCCAAGGGCATTGATCAGCAGGGATTTGTTTTGCTGTCTTTTAGGTACAAGCATCCAGTTTTTCAAAGCAACCAATGCAGAGGGGAAGAGGAGTTCAGCAGCTCTAGAACTGAAACAGAGTTGTAATTTAATTCAAGTTAAAACTCCCCCTGCCAGGAGGTCTTTTGGATAGGAGCAATTCCCTTGTACATGAACTCAGTCCTGTGACTCTGCTCCTGAGAGAGAAACTCTGCATCAGGAAACTGTGTTCTAGCCAGGATCCCAGTAGATGAGAATGCTCAAGGTTAAGGGATCTAAGGTACAGCACTTAGAAGGTACCAGAGCATCTCAGAAAAGTGTCATTTATTGATGTCTTGCAAGGAAGATGTTGATTCCTTTTTATAAATTGCATTTTCCATCAAAACTCACTGAGACTGAAAAATTACTTGTGACTGACAGGTTTTATGTGTTCCAGTTCGATGTCAGTGTTTTGGCTGGGAGAGCTAGAGAATAGCCTAAGAATAATTACAGAGACTGACACGTTCGTTGGGTGACAGACAACATCTTCATCTTACAGGCAGTGTTGCTGTAACAATCTTTTTTCTCCTGACTCTTGTTTCTTTCCATAATGGGATATTTACCACCTCTTGTTTCTCTGTGCTCCTTGGGGCTTGCTTTAGGTCTGGACACACCAGCTTTACCAGCACAAGAACACTGGGAAGTAGCCTCAAACTCCAGGCTCTGGCCCTGGAAGCCTCCTGCCTCCCAGTCTGGGAATGTGTATTAGTGATTACCAGAACTTTTGAGATACGTCCCAGAGCTGATTTGTTGCAAAGGGAGGATGGAGAGTGGGGCTCTGAAGGGGATAAAGACCAAAATATCTAGCTTAAATATGCAGCTGGCAGTTTATCCACTAGATTAGTGTAGCAGAAGAGAATAATGTCTAATGTTAAGGGAGTTATTGCTTAGCCTGATTAATATTACCATGAAGGCATATGGGTTGGAAGAGACATGCTGTAATTGCTGATCCTTGTTTTGAATGGTGCTATAGGAGTCGCAGACATGCACAGATTAGAGTCAACTTTTTACTAGGTAACAAAGTCAGAAATGGCCAGTTTCTTAGATGGAAAATGGGTTTACACGTCGTGCCACAGCTGGCATCCTGGCAAACACAATGGCTTTGGTGGCAGCTGTCTGCTAAAATCAGTGGGTGAGCAGGGAGAGATTTCAAAACTAAGTAGTGTGTGTGAGAGCACCACTGAAAGGTGGGATGGAAACGCCAGCAATATGCACAGGAGATACCCACGGGAGGGTGTGCTTCCTAACAGGGAGTATGGAGAAAATCCTGCCAGGTATGAGCTTCCCAGGTATTAATGCTTCCAAACAACATGGCCATTCTCCTGGTTCATGTTTCTTTGCTGACCACTGTGCATTGGAATTACTTGAAATTGGATGAGCTTTAAGGTCCCTTCCAACCCAAACCAGTGTGGGATTCTCTGATTGAATTCTGTATTTGGGGCTCCTCAGATACTCTCCCTGGAGGTCTGCCAGCTTCAGTGGGACTGATGGGATAGCATTTGCCAGACCTAAAAGTGAGTATTTGCAGTGATAGAAAGATTTGCTTCAGTGCATTGTGGGAAACTCTGGAATACTTTCAGCAGAGGATAAGGTAGGCTGAGAAATGGCAACAGATTCATGAGCTAGAAATAATTAAGGTAAATCCTGGAGCATTTCAGTTCCCCTTCTTCACTCTGTTTTCAAACCCAGTATTCTGCATGATGAATCGTGAATATGCAGCACATGCTGCGAGGTTTTAAGTGTCTCCTCAGATCATAAAGAGAAAGAAAAGGAATCCTGGTATTGTTGATGGTTTAGGAGAAAGCTAAATACAGCACAGGAAGAAAAAGGCTATACCTTAAAAATTAATTGTTCAAGTACCAGGTCATTGTAGAGTAATGCACCGTGAAATTATGTTATTCTCCAGGAGAATTTCCATAAAGTTTAACACTCCATGACACATTCTTTTTTCTATTGAAGTTAGTTAAAAATAGTACATAAAAGCCCTCGGTATTGCTTGAAACAAAGCCCCAGCAGCGGGGCTGCACCGTGCCAGCACTCCGACCCTGGCACTGCAGCAGCAGCCATAAACCCCCGGCGGAGCGAGCAGTGCTGAAGGAGCCATTAGTCGTGGTGCGTTTTTGCTGTTATTCACATTGGGATAATGAGATTATTGGAATATTTTTTTTTCTAATGAGAATGAGACGGAATACCTTGGTCGCTAAATGATTTAGTCACAGGGGAAAGCCATTAGTCTCTACTTGATTGCTGTCAAAGGGTGGAAAATGAGAACATTATACCGGTATTTCTTGCGATGGGCCATATTTTCCGTGCTTGTTCGGTGTCAAATGAGATGGTGGAAATGTTTGTTGAAAACGAGTGGTTCTTCAAAAGCTTTGCAGTGAGGAAACTGCACAGGGCTGGTGGGGGGAAGCTCTCCATGGAGGCAAGTGGAGAGCTGGCAGGCTCTTTCTGTGAGCCTGGGGCGAGGATATCTGCTCATCTGCAACGTCTGCTCCATGGGAGCACCGTGGTGGCTTCCATGGGTTGGACTCCATCAGAATTCACAGCAATATTGACTCCCAAAGAGCAGTTCTATGAAGCATGTGTTTGTTTTGCAGAGCATCACGCCAGGCAGGCGTCTGTTTATTTACATGTTTTATCTGTGTGACAAGTGAAGCCTCCTGGAGATCCGGGGCCATTGGAATTATAGCTGAAGTGATGTTTTTTTCTTATCAGTTCTTCTGGACTGACTCTGTTGTCACTAATGATGATGCTTCCATACAGCAATAGGGACTCCCGAGCTTTTATCAGCACATGTCAAAACCTACAAGGTTTTCAAGCGGTAAAATGGAAAGATGACTAAGTGAGAGGTTCTGATGGCCACAAGGAAGAAGGACTCTGGCTGAGTCGTCGGCTCTCTCCTGGTAGAGGAATAAAACCTAAAAAAGGGAAAGAAGTAGCCTTGCTTTGTATAGTTACCATCTGGAATTTTTGCCTTTCCACAAAGGCTTAAATGACTGTGAAGTGAAATGGTTAAATGTGCCTGAAGTGATTGATGGGCTTTGTTTTTAGGAGTTCGGCTTTCAAATTGACTATGGTGCTCTTGGAAATATTGCCTCTGCAGGAGCAGAATCCTTCCCAGTACCACATTCCTCCTATTTCTTTTTTATTCCCTTAAGCTCTGCAGATGCAGCACTTTTCTGGCAGGAGATGATGGGCCAGAGCTATTAACCAGTTTCTGAATGCAAGGTTAATTATAGGATGGTTTTATACAGGGCACTGCTCAAGAAACTGTGGCAGAGAGACTCAGTGGGCATCAGGGTTTGATCCCAACTTTGGCTGTGGTTGCAGAGCCCTATCTTGTCCTCGGACACCAGGGGGATTGTCCATGTTGCAGCCCATGGGCAGGGCAGTGATGGATGAGCACTGGTGGGACCACATCTGCTGCAGAACACGCTGACAGGAAAGGCAGGCTGTGCATGGAGACTCAACTGCTGGTGCAGGTCAGCTGCCTGGCTTCCCGTGGGGAGTAGTAGGTCATCAGAAGTGAGGACAAGTTCTTAACCTGATGTGAGCAGCCATGAAACCTGTAGTGTGGGAGAGCTGGTGCAGCACCGTTGGGTGTGTGAGAGCAGGTCCCTTTTGGACCACGGTTCGTGGCCACTGTTGGCAGCTTTGTTGGCTCTTACTGAGCAGACTGTTAAGAACTTCCTGTGCATGGCACAACTGGGAAGCCCACAGCACCATTGAGAGCAGGCTCGTGGTTTGCAGTGGACTGATGCAGGGACACCTTCCATTAGAGTCATTGCCCTGGAGCACTGTCCTTCCTTGTCCTGGCCATTGACAGCTTTGCAGTAAAACTGCAGGGTTGCAGCAAGAGGGACCTGGGCAGAGCAAGGAGAAGCAGCGCTGTGCCGTGGGGTTGGTGATGCAGTCAGGCACGTGTCTCACCTCATCCTCCATTTCACTCTGCAAACAGACTCACTCCAGGTTGTTTAGCAGATTGAAACCTCTGGCTGTTCCAGACTTCCTTATTTACCTTTGCTTCTCTTCCTCCTTTCCCCTGTAATAAATGTCTGGTTTATTTATTCAAGCCTGCAGCCCACTGCCCCTAAATCTCCAAACTCTCGTGTCACGCAACAACAGAGCAGACCTGCTTGGAAAGAGAATTTCCAGCTCAAGAGGAACATATGCTACAACAACTGAATTTTTTAATGAAGGGTTTTTTTCCCCTTTTTCCCCCAGCCTCCATTGTCATTCGGCTCTAATCTTTCACCCTGGCATCTCACAGAGTGTAGCGGTGAGGCTAAAAGGGAAGGCAGTGGGCTGGTGCACGGCACCTTGAGCTGATTCCCCATGGCATTCACTTCTGTGTGTGCATCCTTTAAAGAAGGGTTACTGTCGACTAATGTGAAAGAATTTGGGTCTAATTCACTGTCCCTTTTCCTCTCTTATTATGGCATTATCATTATTCAGGCTGGAGAAGGCTCCTTAAGGGGAGACCTTAGAGCAGCTCCAGTGCCTGAAGGGGCTGCAGGAAAGCTGGAGAGGGGCTTGGGACAAGGGATGTAGGGACAGGCCAAGGGGAATGTCTTTAACCTGCCAGAGGGGAGACTGAGATGAGCTCTTAGGCAGAAGCTCTTCCCTGTGAGGGTGCTGAGGCGCTGGCACAGGGTGCCCAGAGAAGCTGTGGCTGCCCCATCCCTGGCAGTGCTTAAGGCCAGGTTGGACACAGGGGCTTGGAGCAAGCTGCTCTAGTGGAAGGTGTCCCTGCCCATGGCAGGGGTTGGAGCTGGGTGAGCTTTGAGGTCTCTTCTAACACAGCCCCTTCTATGACAGTTCTGTGGGATAGCATTATGTTCATGGACATCTCCAGCAAGGTCTTGTCCCCTCTTGCCAGCACCAGCCACCTCCCTGCATTACTGGCACCTTTGCTGGGTGGCTGATAGAGACACATCACTCCCAAAGTGCCCTTTTTCCAAGCAGTACCCAATCATTATTAATGAAGAAAAGGTGACCTATAGTCTTCTAGATACAATCCTTTTTTATATCTCCTTTTTCCCCCCAATCCTTCAATCTAATTAGGCTCACATCAGTATATTATTACAGAATGTAATCATTCCTTTCTTCTAATAACATTCATGGCTAATTTTATTTCTCATTTTCAGCCTCCTACTCCTGTGGTGTAATTAGTGTCTCTGGCACCTCGTGACGCTCCGAATGAGTTGCAGCTGCTAATTGCTAATTGAAAAATTAGAAACTCAGTTAGAAAAAGGATCTAATTAAAATGAAATTAGATAAAATCCCTTCAAACCAGTTTCTTCCTCTTTCCTTTTTCCCCCAGTTTTGCGAGCACGGAACCTTTAGC